AGAGATTGACAGAAAACTTGAGTGTTCGACTGGCTACACAATCCCTCCAAGGCAAGGCAGTTCATATGCTACTTTGGGCCCCGTCCAGCGTGGATGAGGGCGCCGTGCAGGTGATTTGGGAGCTGTGGAACACCCACCTCAGGGGTGAGAAACCGCAGCTTTGTCCGGCCCCAATCCTGGAGACCCAGGAGCTGCTGAGAGCTGGTGGCTCTCCCTCAGCGTGGCCAGGCTGTGCTAGCAGCGGGTGTCATTCTCGTGCTTCACTCTGCAGGATCAAGCACATGTTATGGGAAGGAATGGAGGTGGACAAGCACAGCAGGTGCTGCACGGGATGGATGGAGCCATCGCTGGGGAAGCCGCTCCATGGCCCAGCCCAGGGCAGGTAGGGCTCAGGTGGGTGCCGAGCGTGGTGAGCTCGGCTTGGTCCGTAATGTCTCGGGAAAAGGCTGCGCTAGTGAGGCCGGGGCTGCGGGAACAGAGCGCGCACTCCAGGGGGGAACTTCGAGCGGTCTCTCCCCGTCCGAGGCGCTGTCCTGGCACGGACAGGGAAGGGAAGAAGGAGAGGAAGGAAGGAAGTGAGGAAGGCAGGTAGGCAGCGCCCGCCCTCTCCCCGCCCTCTGTTAGGGCGCTCCGACCGAGCAGCGCCCGCTGCGGGAAATGGCGGCGCCACGAGGAGAGGTGGGGGAGCTCATGGCAGCTGGGCCCCGGCCGCGCTCCTGCTCCTCCCGCGGCGGGCTGAGGTGCCCGGGTGCGGCCGGCGGGCCGGCAGAGGGAGAGCGGCGGAACTCGGGCACGGCCTCCCGCGCTCGCTCGCATACGGAAAGGCCCCATGGCCATGCGGCCGGAGTGGCTCCTGTGCCATGGCGCCGAGGCCCGGGCTGCCCGCGGCTCTGTCCGTGAGCCCCGTGTCCCGCGGGGAGCCCCGGGCCGTGGCCGGCGCGGGGCCCGTGAAGAGGCGCTCCCGCCCGGGGCCCAGGTAAGCGCTGCCCGCCGGGCCCGCTGCCGCCCGGCACGGGCTGCTCGTGGTGGTGGTGGTGGTTTAGTGAGGTGGCCCGGGGCCCACTAGTGCAGCCTTTCTGGGGCTCTTCAGGCCATAGCTTGGTGTCTGGATTTTATCTAGCTTTTATTTAGCTGTGGGGTGAGCACCCTTTTGGCAGAGAGTGCAGCCCCTTACAGCCATTTTGTGAAGCAGTTTTCTCAGTATCGCTTCCACCAGAGCAAGTAAAGCTTGAAAACTAAGTTTGTTTGGAAAAAGTTTAAGTAAGGTGGGTAAGCTGAGTCCCAGTATATATTGACAACTGAGCACACCACCATGAACGTGATGGAGAGAAAATGCACTAAAAGGCAGTGTTGTGTTTTAGACTGGCCCAGGACTGCAGTAAAGTGTGAGCAGGAAGCAAAGCCTCACCTTTGCACGGTCCCTGGTTGCTTTGCTGTGTGCTGCTAATGAATGATATTGGGAAACAGAGGTGAACAGTAAAAAGATTCAACTGGGTTTGAAGATAGGAATAGGGAATTGCCTTCCTGGTTAGGCTCTGCTGTCTACTTTAGGAGGGTTCAGTGTGGTGTGAGGCTTTTCAGGAGTTTCTTGTGGAGATTCATCTGGAGGACTAAGAAAGTGGAGCCAGTGGCACTATATTGACTCCACTGATACTATCCTCCTAAATTAAATGGTGGGAGAACAGGGCCTGTCTGTGAGATAAAAGTCAGGACCTACTTGATCTACCCACAATGTTTTAATGGCTGTGAGAGAGAGCAGGTTAAAAGTCACGTGTTTCTGTAGTAAAAGGTTGGATGTGTTTGTTTTAAATGTATTCCAGCTATTGCATTGACTCTTGTATTTGTGCTTTTGACATGTGTCACCTGTTTAATTGCTCACAGGCCCTTTGTTCCCGGCTCCAGCACTGGGTGAGGAGGGACACTGGACATGCCGTGGATTATGGTAACTGGTTTAAAAACTGTTTCAGCCTCAGAAACCCGTGTGAGACCAGTGTGGCCTTCTGAAAGGGCTTCACGTGATGCCCTCCAGTGGCAACAACGTGAATTTGAAATCACTGGGAATTGGGGAAAGGGATCCTTCTGGCCTGAAGGGGTTTGGGCAGCCCTGGCAAAGTCCCCAGTTAACTGCTGGGGGAGGATGGTTGGGGGTGTCCTGTCCTTTGGCAGTTCCTGGTGCTGCAAGTCCTGCAGGGATGCATGGATCACTGCTGCACATAAGGACTGCCTGTGGGCTTCAGCTGGCCAAAACCAGAGCTTTAGGCATGAGCTTCTGTCCTTTGCAGAGGATGGATTTTACTGTGTACCAGTAAATGCCCATAAGGAAAAGGAACAAGGAGGAAATAGACCAAACAGATACCAGGAAAAATGCAGCTTGCAGCACATAATGTTAGAGATAAAGACAACTCATTTTTAACTGACTGTTGCCCTACCACATGGTGTAGTTCAGCCAGAGTTCCTGTATACAGGCCAGAGATAAGAACTGGTTTTGCCTTATCTGAGATACCTTTCAATGCAGAGAAATAGATCTCAGATCACCACAGTTGTCCAAGGTGAGTGCTATACTCAGAGTTCAAATAAACTGAATACACCTGGTGAATAAACTGAATACAGAGACATGCAGGTATAAACTTAGAGCTTAGTAGACCTTTGTAGAGGAAGTGGTGGCCTCCCTGTAAAGGATTTATATAGAGATTGTTCAGAGCAACAGCTGGTTCTAAGAAACACACATTGTTAAGTTTTCTTTGCTGTATAAATATTTAAGTGATGGGGTTTGGATTCCGAAGAGAGGAAAAGCTTGGGCTAGTGCTAACAGGTGAAGCTTTTCTTAAAGAGAAACATTCAACCTTATTTCCCTTACTGTTTTAAACCTAGAAGCCAATTATTGCATATTTTTTCTTTTTTTCTTTCAGATAGTTCTGTCACTGCCTTAGCAGTCCTGTGCCATGCCTGGTGCTGACCATGGGGCCATTCTCCTGAGCAGAGTGCTCTGTACTCAGCCACCGGCAGCACAACAACGGAGCTGTTTGGTACCTGTGGAGTCCCACTGCAGGGGTGTCTGAGCACCTTGCATTTGGCTCAGAAAATCTGCCCTTGCACAGTCCACTGAGAGGGTTGTGAAGTCCTGGGGACCTGCCAGTTCAGTTCACCAACTGGAAAGTATTTGCCAGGTTACAGCTATGGTTTAAACACTTGAGGTGAAAGCTGGTGGTGGGTAGTGGAATCATGGGTTCACCAGCAGCCTTTGTGCATTAGAGGCTCTGTTGGGAGGTTCAGATGTCCTGATACCTCTGCTCTGATACCTGTGTGTTACACTCGTTCAGGTATCTAAGAGTGGGGCTCTCAGTTTTTGGCTGATGGGGTAAAACATGTTCCAGTGGGTAGAAGTTGCACCCAGAGTCAAGGAGTACATTTTAAAACAAAGAATGGTGCTATCTCACCACTTCCATCCCCTGCACAGGAGCTGTACCCTAGAGCTGCTGTTCCCATGGCCATGCCAGCATCAGCAGGGCACACATGGCCACGAGCTGCTCTGCTCACTGGCACACCAAGCAATTGAAAGTCTCCGGCCTGCTTACAGCAGGTCTGACAAAGTGACTGTAACAACCTTTTCTGCCCTGAAAACACCTTCATTCCTGGTAGGTTAAGAAAGGATGCTGTGCTGGTATAGCTCAGTGTTGCTAAACCCATCTTCTGAGGCTTTTGAAACAGATACCCAAGAGCAGCTGGTACTAATCACTGCTGTAGTGACATACTCAGCTCCTGTTTTTGTGGTTTCTAAAGGCCTGTTTTGGTAAGACTTTTTTTAAGCTATTTGAGAAAGAACAGACAAGCTTTTGATACACAGTTCTATGTAAAATCTCTTTAGTTTTGCCAACAGTATTTATTTGTAGGGACCCTGCTTATTGTAGAGGCCACTGCTTGTTCCTGGTGATTCCCTAGAATGGAAACTTGAACCAATGATTTTTGTAATGAATGTGCAATAAATCTGTGGAAAAGCTTCTCTGTTAATGACTCTTGATTGAGTTCAGGTAGTTTTGACATAGATGGCTGAGGCTGTTCACAGCTGGCCAAGCCTGCTTGACAGGCAGGGCCTGTCTTGATTGGTGTCTGGAAATGAAACCCAAACAAGGATGTCTCAACTGTGTGCTGGGCCAGAGTCCAGCCTGACTGGACACACACAGCTTCTAGGGCACAGCATGGAGTGGAATTCTTCCATGCTGAGGGGGAGAACAGATCTGTGAGTGTGGAGGGAGGGTCCACCCAACTGGAGATGAGCATAGCTAAAAGGAAGCAGCTAAAAATGTTGCTTTAGGTTTTTCTACAAGGACAATCAAGCACTGCAAAAAGCCTATCTTTTTTTCCCTGGGTGAATGAATGAGAAGCATTCTGTAAAAATTTGGCTTACATTTGAGACTGGAGTGCAGGCTTGGGTATTCCAGCAAGTCCCACTGGGTATGTGTAGGCACAAACATAGGGGCGGCATATTTGATTATCTTGTGTCACAACAAGAACACTTGATTGGGAGATCAGCTTCATGACTGGAGTGTTTTCAGCTCCAGCAGCTGTACAGTGATTATGCCTTTTGCTATTTTTGTTTTTCTTTGAGTTTTTAGCTCTTGAGTAGACTCAGGAGTAGAAATAATGATGGCTTTGGAACTGGGGAGTTCCCTAGGCTTCAGGTGGATGTGGGGGGAGCTGTGATCCAGCTGCCACTGCTGTGTGGTGACAGCATCACCTCTGAGAAGGAAGGTGTCCATTTCTAATGAGAATTCTGGGATGTTGATGGCTCTTGTGACCACAGTGGCTTTTTGCTAAGATCCTTCCCAAGAGGATGTAAACTCCTAAGAGCTCAGGCTTGGCAGCTGGTTTGGGTCAGGGTTGCTTTGCTCTTACTAGGGGGAAACTGCTGGTTCATAGGGAGTGTGATGGTGCAGTTAATGCTGAAAGAGGGCATTGCTCAGGACAGGTTACACAGGGGTGTGGCAGCTGCAGAACACAAGTTATGGCAGGGCAGTCCATAGGGGTGTTGTAATTCCAGTGTGTATCCTTAAGATACCAGGTGTTTCCAGTGCAAAGCAGGGGTGGACATAATGCTGGAAGTGTGAGTTGAATGTGTGAAGGTGCTGGGCAATATCTGCATTGAAAAATGACAGTCTGCAGTTCTCATAGTCCAGCAGGATGCCAATCCTTCTGGGGGGAACAGTAATTCTGACGTCAGGTGTCATCCCACTGTGCAGGAATTCATACTTGTGCCTGCAGGCGAGAAAAACAAAAGAGCTGAAGGTACCCTGGCTGCTCTCAAAGGGAAGCACTTTGTGCACACAGGTGCCCAGGTTGCTCATGAGAGTCAAAGGCAGTGGTGTTGATGTACCATGTCCAGGGGAGAGCCAGCAGTGCAGCTTAGGCAAGAGGGAGCTGGCATTTCTGCAGGCAGGTGTGACATAATGCCACAGGTAGGACAGAGATCAAAACCAGTTGGGTTTAGCCAGATTATGTAGTTTCTGGATTACATAGATCTATTACTATCTTCTCACTGAGGTTTTGGTAATGTTTACAGCTAAATTCTGCAACTGATTTTATTCAGATTTGTTCCTGCAATTTCTTGTTTCAATGTGACAACATTTCAATGAGAGAATGTACCACAGAGACACCTTTCAGCTTGATTCACTAGCACCCTCTCAGAGTCAACAGACATGGATGTTCAAATGGATGCAAATCTGCCAAAACTCAAGTTCTAAAGCAAGGACGTTGGGCAAAATAACCCATGCCAAATGCTGCTGAAACACCCTAAAAAAAGCAGGAGGATTTGCTTAAGCAGTGTCTTTCCAACACCAGTTTACAGGGACAGCAGTGGAATGTCAGAGGCCCCAGTGCCTGGTCTGAGCTGATACAAAATCTCTGTTTTCCCTGCTGCCCTGCCTGCAGGTGTGAGAGTATTTCCTGTTGGAGACCAAGCCCTTACCTTGAGGGTGTGATGATGTGCCTCATGCACCAGGATGAGTTGTTTGCCCCGAGGTGACCATGTCTCGGCGTGTTCTCAAAAGCCACACCAATTCTGTACTCTGTATCTTCCTCAACTTCCACCTCCCAGTAATGCTTTCCTGGAAATGGGATCAGACTGCCCAGGATTGCAATACATCTGTGGGAGACAGACAGGAATATGTGTTTTGGCAGGGCCTTTCTATAATTCTCTTTACAGTGTTTAGATATATTCAGGTATGTATATACCTGGACATTACATAGCAATAAACAAAAGCCACTTCTGCTGTCACCTTAGTGCAGTGTGGATTTTTGACTCCAGTGAAATCCTCACACTGAGGAGCTGACACCCAGCCTGCAGGTTTCTTTGTGACACCTGCCCTGTTCTTACTTGTGGGTAGCTTTGCAGAAATGAATGCCCTAGGCACTTCCAGGAAGATGGAGAACAGCATCCCATAGTGCCTGGGTTTTCTGGGAAAGTTAATGCTTGTTAGAAAAGAGAGTGCTCTAGTGAACTCCTGCATAGCAGAGGAAAAAGTACAGATTTTGCATTTTCTTTCCCAACAGCCCAGGGTTTTGAACATCACTCACCATTGGAACTGAGCACTGTGACAGCATGAGGTCCCTGGGGCAGCTGGGGAGGAGGGAACCTGTCTACACTGCTTCCCTCTGTGTTTGGAGAGATTAGGAAGAATTGAACACAGTAGGAGAACTTGTAATATGCTGGGTACCTGGGCCATGAAATGTATGATAGGAACCATGCAGAAAATAACTCTTTTGAAAGTTGTGTAGTAGAGACAAAGATAATGTACTACAGAGAGACCCTTCAGCTTGATTTACTGGCACAGTCTTGAAATCAAAGGAACTGGATGCTTTGAAGATGCAAGTCTGCAAAAACACAGGTTCTAAAGCAAGAAAATTGGGCAAAATAACCCACTCCAAATGCTTCTGAAACACTCTTAGGAGAGCAACATGAGTCCTGTAAGCTTACACCTCAGCTTTTTCTTAGGAAAAGTACATGGTGTATTAGCTGTTATTGTCAAGGGGGACAGCAGGTTTCAAACACACACAACTTTTATGTTTCTATGGTAGTGTGTAAAGTTATAAGTTACAAAGGAAAAGGATGTTGCTGGCAGATACTGAGCTCTTCTAGGCAATGCTGAGAGGGAGCTGCACTCATCATTTGGAGGCTATGTTGCTACAGCCTGAGAAGGAAAAGGAATGATGCAAAATGGATGGGTAAATACCTGTGAACCATAGTAATGAGAGCTGCAAAGCCACCAAGGCAAACCTGAGCTGCACTGAAGAAGCAGTTAGGAAATACATCAGCAACCCAAACTTAGGAGACCACACAAACTTCAGAAAGAAGAGTTTGCCATGTAACTTCCTTGGGAGTTGTTGGGGTTTTTTTTCCTTTATTTTCTCTTTTTCTTGCTTTTTTCAGTATCTTGGTTTGAAGAAGATTTGTGAAAGTTCATAGTGGTACCAAAACCTCAGCCTTTGAATGAGATGAGTGCCAGCTCTGGCTGTTTATGTGAAACATAAAAGCATCCCATAGAAGTGGGATGAAATCCCATTTAAGATTACCATGATGGCTTTAATGAAAAGGATCACCAGTCTCCCAACTCTTTTCTACCAAGCGCTCTAGTAGCACTGCATTTCCAGGGAGGGAATAAATTGTAGACTTGTATAATCCTGCAATGCCTGTCCTAGTTATGTGGTGTTTCTGTGGTTTTGACTGGAAAATACATTTTGGCAAGCTTAGTCTCTCACTTCAATGGCAAAGGGCCTAATTCTTTTTGAAAGAATTGTTGGTCCAAATAGTATCAGTTATATCTTTCAGCAAGAGGTAAGTTTTCAGATCCCTCTCCTTTCCTTAGCATTTTTTATGGCACCTAAATACCTGTTCAAATTTAGCTCAATGTACCAGACATGTAAGTAGGCTTGTACATAATTGTGGCTGCTGTATCTGTAATCCTATTTAAGAACTTGCATTAATTTCCAAGTTCCAAAGAGCAGCTGGAGGGAGAGATTTCAACTCAAAAAATTAATCAGAGCTGCTGAAAGCCCCATTAGACATTTCCTGGCATCTGTTAAAAGAACCAAAGAAACTGAAATGCCCCTGTATACCTTGTAAAGCTGTTATCATAGACAGGCAGATCACACTCTGGGTTTTCCAGTTCATCACATGAAATGGTAAATCCATCATCTAGAATTGCCAGTAAAGGATGAGCTGTGTCCTCATTAAGGTAGAAGCAGGTGCCTGAAAGAGAAAATGACTAAGGATAACTCCAATATCTCCTTATAACATTAGAATTGCAGCAAGGGTGTGATGAAATGTTATTTGGATCCACAAAATGATTCACCAATGCTCTATAAAGAATCTGTGGCTGGCATTGAGAGGACAATATCATATTTTTAAAATTTTTCTAATAAATGTTTGTTTTACAGCTTAAGACTGTTTAGTTTCAGCCTGGTGAAAAGCAGGGGACTTAGCCTACTTTTGAACCCTACCAGGGCTCAAAGCTGCAGGCCTTGTGCAGGAAGTAGCTATTCAGAGATGAGGAATCCTCCCTGCAATGGCCTGTCTGGTTTCAAGTAATCTATTTTTAATCACTGAAAAGAGAAAGGGGGCGTAAAGGACTCTCCATGGCCTCACCCATCCCCGTAAATGCTGGGCAGTTTGAAGAGAAAGGATCCCTCATGCTTCAGCTCCTCCCTTGGCAGACCAGCCCTCAGAGAGGTAAGTCCAGCCCAGGATAAAAGTGCTTCTGCCTTTCTTCCTGCAGAGACTTCACAGAGCAGCTCTGACACACTGGGCCCTGAGGAGCAGCCACCATTGGCACAGCTGCTGATTGCAGTTGGTGCTTGTTTACCCACCCCAGAAAGGATCAAAGGCCATTCACAGTGTTGGAGGTGGGTTCTTGCAGCCAACAGAGCAATTTGCATCAGCTGTTTGCATAATGTAGACTCCAAGAAGATTAATCTCCCCATGGTAATCCCAAATGAAATCATTATAATCAAACTGCAAGTTACTTCATTGCAAATACAATACAAACAATGACAGGGCAATTACAGGCATGTGCTGCTGAAAACAAACACATGCTGTGCAAACAGAATGGGCAATTTCAAATATTGAGTTTGATTTAAGCAGTTGGAATACACACAAACAATGGTAACACAATGACAGTTTTCCTCTCCAGGGATTTAAGGATGAGCATTTCTTTTCTGTGGTGCCACTGCTGTGGGGCAGACAGGATTTTTACTAAAACATAACTTTGTGTGGTCATCTTGCTGAATAAATACAATTTTCAAATGTCTCACAGAAGGTAAGGGTGGAAGAGACACAACAGGTAAGGTGTGAGTGGCATGGGAGATGTGAGATGAGCAGTGAAGTTGCAGTGTTGTTGCAGCAGTGATGAAAGTGAGCATGGATGTCTGGTAAATGGCTCTAGAAAGTGCTGTCTCAGCCATGATTTCCAGCAGCAGCTTCATTCCATGCTAATCTCTGAAGTAAAACCACACTACAGCTTTCCTCACTGGTGTGTCAGTACTTTGCAGGCTGGCAATATGTGGGTGTTGAGTTGACACTGTCTTTTAAAATGTTTAGAAATTAGTAACTTTCAAGTACCAAATGCACCAGACAGCAATAATATAAATTACAGAGCTAAAGCAATGCACTTATTGTTACGAGAAGTTGCTTTTTTCATTCCTAAAAGGTTACCAAGGGTGTAATTAGATGTAAGAGATTAGGATTTGGTCCAGAGGCCATTGAAAGCAGCAGGAATCTTTCTGTTAAGACAATAGATGCTCCAATAAGCTGCTGGAGTTATTCCAAGCTGTACAGTACCTGTGGTGTGTATCAGGACAGGTTCACTTCTTTCACTGGAGCCACCCAGGTTTTGGGCTCTGACACAGATGTGATACTTTTGTGTTGGCTGGAGGTGAATTAGGACTTCACAGTTAGGGATCCCAACAATAGATCTACAGAAAACAAATCCATGGAAAATGACAGGGTAGAAAACAAAGGTAGGCCTTTGAAATTATTTTTCTGAGCAACAAGGAAGACATTACATTTCAACATGTCTTGTAACCAGTCAACAACATTTTATCTTGTACAATTGTCAGTAGCAGGGCAAGAGAGAGTCTGTCACAGACTGCAGATTTTTACATCTGCTTCTGCCCTCTTCCCATACCCATAATTCTCATGTAGTAATTTCTGATTAACATTTTACAACTATTTTTACTAAGAGAATTGTTTGTAAATGTAAATTCACCAGAAGGTCATGGGTCCTTTCTTAGTCCTATATGATGCCATACAATTGAAATGGTTTCATCTCTACAGGCCATGGGCTCAATAGAAGAGTAACTCACTCAGTAATAATATCATCATTTTCTTCATCTGTCAGCTTGGACAATTCAACTGTGTAGGAATCAACAGGGTTAATGTCTCTGGATTCCCAGCACACCAGTGCTGCATTTTCACAGCTTCGGATCTTTTTATTCTTTATGATAGGTGGTGAAGGAGCTAAAAAGGAGAAAAAAGAACAATTCTGAGCTGTTGCTTGAAGATGTTTGCAAACCACATGCTTTGAAGACAAACAAATAGAAAAATGTTTACTAATACTATGTAGGTAAAGAAACCTGCTTCCCCAATGGACAATAAACAGCAGGTAGGGTGATTAACAATACTATTTAAAGACTTCATTTAGTCTATAAAGGTCCCAGGAGAATTAAACAGAGAAATAACATAAAGACTGATTACACAACTGTTTTCTATCATTAGTTTTATCTTTGTCATAAAGGTGCATCTCTTCCCTGCTCTGAGATGTCAAAGACATCTGGAACAAGCACTTGAAGGGCTCACACTGACTTGCTCAATCTGATGTCAGGATTTCACACAATGTCCTAGACTGAACTGCAGTTAAAAAGAACAGCATAACAGGTGAATCCACAAAATACCTACAGGCCAATGAAAGGAGAGCTGGGATTCATCTGGCAGAACCAGGAAACTTGAACCTTACTCACAGCTGGTCTACACGCTTGCATTTAAATAAGTTATTTTGTCTCTCTGCTTCTGTTTCTGCCACTCTAAAACAGGGATAGTTGGCATGACAGGCTCTCCAAATAAAAGCAGGGAATTCCCATGCAGTCAGTAGGCTTACATCAGAAGAAAGTGCCCAGAAAGTATTACTTGCATAAAATTCAGAGATGATTTTGAATTTCACTATGAAGGTTACAAAGTTGTATGAACAAAATATTTTTACCTGTTACATAAACTGCTCTTTCACTTGGTGGACTGATACCGGAGGCATTTAAAGCACTGACCCAAAATTCATACTGTGTATTTGGCAGCAGATCAGTAATGGTGCAGTATGTTTCTTTGACTTTTAGTGTATGCTCTGAAATGACAACAACAAAGCATTTACAGTGCCTTTACACACTTGCCCACTCTTCCCCAAACCTGCATCACACAGTGGAGTTGGGGTGCGTTGTTTTGGGTGCTGAGTTCAGGAGAGCTCCTTGCACTCCCCACCCTTTGATCAGCTGTCAGGCAGTTTCACAGTGCCTTCATCTAAAGCTGCATAAATCAGATGGGACAAGAGCTGAAGCTATTTTGCTGCTCATTTCTCATTCTTCATCTTATAAAATTTGGATAGTGTCTGCTTATCTTTCTCAACTAGCCACTGGCACTCTACTGGCTTCCACTTTTGAAGGTTCTGCAAGACCAGTATTAGCAAAGGCAGTTTTGTCACAAGGCTGAGACATTTTGGTTCTGTGGTTTTTTGTGTGCCTGTGCATCTTAGGGAGTTACAGACTATTATTAGCACTAAGATAAGCTGTAAAATCATCTGGGGGTTTCAGTTGGAGTGCTGATGATATGATGATTTGCTCTTTAAAAATACTGTGATTTAAAAATACGTGATGCAGCACATGTTCTAATGCAGTGCCCACCCTCCAGAAATCCTCATGACTCCATCCACTGTCCCCTTCCCATTCCTGCTATCCCTGCTGCTGCCACATCCTGTCTTTGCCCATGTGATAGGTCCTGCTGCAGCTGGCAGCATGGCAGACCTGGCAGGGGAAGAGGGACAAGGCAGATGGTGGTGGCAGATATGACAGTTTTGGTGGCAGACAGTGCACGAGGCATGCAGAGGCACTTTGGCATCAGCTGGCTTTGCCAGTGGAGGGCTGAGGTGTCCCTTGGGCCCCAGCCTCCTTACCTGCTTGCCCATCACTGTGCCTCTCATTGCTCACAGGTTGGTAGCACAGCTGGTAGCACTCCACAGTGTCATCCGAGAAGAGGCCCCAGCAAACTCTCAGTGAAGTGCCAGTTGCTGCATTGGGAGCCTGGGGATTGATCACAGGGGCACAAGGAGCTGCAGAGGAAAAAACAGGTCAGTTTTTGAATGTGTAATCATGGTTTGTTGTACCTCTCCTCTCACAAAGGTGTTTGCACAAAGCCTTGGCACTGAATGGGGTCATGTTCCTCCATTCCTCCCACATGGAGAAAAGTCAGGAGCTGAGTCTGCAATTGCAGATAGTAATCGGGTCACTGATGTGTGAGAACTAGTCTTGCTTCAAAACAAAGTCAAACCAATGAAATAAATAAACCTCAGCCTTCCCCTCTGAGGGTTGCTCCAGTGAGCCCAACATCTGCCATGCCAGGACTCCTGCCAGGCACCCAGGGATCAGGGAAAAGCTGTACAACAGGGAGCATCAGCACAGCCAAACAAGTACCAAATGCTGTTTTGTGTTAAGAAAACACAGTATTGGGTGTAAAAAAAGAATAATGTTCTTTCTGACCATTTGTGATGCATCAGAAAATATTTAAAATGTTAGGCGATTTTTTAGCTATTTAAAATTTGTTTATGCTGTGCTGTCTCCTCTGGATTATGGGGGAAAAAATGCTTGCTAAATAACAGAGGAATAAGTCACTGAAATCTGTTTATCAAGAGAAGCTGGGTAAGTTATTTGAAGCAGTCTGGGGTTCCTCTCTATTTTGTTCAAGCAACTACAGGGAAAGAGAAGATATCACTAAGTGTGCTTGACCCCTCAACAGAAGGAGGTAATCTTCATAAGTCTTCTAGGAAATCATCCAGCAAGGAAGTCCCAATTTAGCAGTAATTCTGGTAATTTTATATTGAAAACAAATGGAAAAAAAATTCCAAAAATATCTTCCACTGTCCCTGTATATATAGGCAAATTAAAAAAAAAAAAACAACAACAACAAAAAACCCAACAACAACAACAAAAAAAACTAGAAGGAAAACTAGGGACAAGTTAATTCTGCCTTTGCAGATCTCCTTTAAAAGAAGAAATGTTTAATACATATCCTTAAATGTAAATAGGTGTGAAATAATGATCAGTTAGGAAGAGTACCTGGAATAGCATTAATGGAGTTCATTAGTTGTTCAACTTCAGAGACATCTATGACCCGCTCTTCAAAGTCTGGCAGTGTTGAAAGCTCTAAATTCACTTCTTGCTTTAAGAATTCTTCCAGCCTGTAATTGTAGGGGAAAAAAAAGAATGTCTAATTGGAAGTACCATAGTGTTGGAGGTATCTGTCTATGAAGCCTATTTTTAAGAGAATAGCAGACTCCAAATTAACATCTATTTCTTTAAAACAAAGTTTTCATAGCTGTACAAGCCCAGACTCCTCTGCCTGTAGCTTGGAGATTCGTGGCCATCAGCACCCCAAGATGCCAAAGAGAGCTGGCTGCTGGGGCTGGGGGCCACCCTGGTGTGCCCTGCTCCTGCAGAGAGCAGGGGAGTGGGGTGTGCCCAGCACCTCCCTGTGGGAAGCACCCTATTAGCTCCATAGCTTCCATTATTTTGAATTTACACTATTACTAATTCATGACCTCGTGGCTCTGGGTGTTGTAAATTTGAAAGAAAGGGGTATCTTTTCTCTGTGCTTTCATGAACAATAACAGTCAATTAAGAGGGTGGTTTTTGCATATGATTTAGTGTGCCCTAAGACTTCTTCCAATTGCTCCAATATTTTTCAGTATCTGTTCTGAGCTCCCACAGCTTGACTTTCTACCCCACTATATTAATGCATAAATAAGCCAGTTACAGTATAATTAGGGAGCTCAATTTTAGTCTCATTTGGATCCAGAGTGGTTATTTCAAGAGCTTTAGCAATCCTGTTTCTCAGTGAAATTACTTCCTTATGACTAAGCTGAAAACACTGATTTATTCAGGCTCTAACTCTCCTTTCGGATTTCTTGAAATTGGATCCAAACAAGTTTTGAGTGTTAAGTTTCTTAGAGCAACTTTTTCTGATGCACTTTAAAACAAAAACACTAAATATTTCAATAGCTCTAGTGGCTTAGACAACATTTGTGTGCCTGAACAAAATCCAGAACACACAAGCATCTCCAATGACCCATCCAATTAGCAGGAAGAAATGTGACACAAAATCCCAGACTGTGATACTACCTGTCAACCATGGTTACTGCTGCCTGTTGGAAAAAAAGGACAGAGTGTTAGAGGTAGAAAAGTCCAGAGTCAGACTACATCATGCTGTTGACCTGTCTTACACAAATTGCCCCAAATGCAATACTTGGAGTGAAGTAATTGGCTCTCACCCAACTCTGAGAACAAAGCCAGCCCTTTCTACTGAAATGGACAGATCTTGGCTGAATTTACAGAAAGATAATGAGCCATATCAGGTAGTCATCAGTGTCTGCCCATCGAGACTTGAGACCAATTCCTCCCTTGGTTGTCCAAAGTGCCAACAGATCACTCATAAACAGAAACCCAGATCAGCTGGGCAGAAGAACTCATGAAATGATCTGTGCTGGAGGGAGTCTGAGCAGTGCATGTAACTGGAAGACAGATGTACAGTCCCAGGAGAAACCTAAGCCCCTGAGAGCTCAAGACCAACATTCACTTTTTGATGAATAATGGTTCTTAGGGGCGATATAAAACTGTTTACAAGCTAAGGAGAAAATAAGTTTATTCCAGAGATGGGAAAAGTCAGCTCATGAGAAGAACTCAGCAGGCTGGAGTCATAACAAACTGACCCACAGAAGTACACTGGTGTTATGACATTTGTTTGTTGTCCAGCTCAGAAGTTACTGTCACTGTGCTACAGAAATGCTCCCACCCACCTTAGTCACAGGACAACTCAGGTGAGAGCAATCACATCATCAGTGAAAATTCTGATTTTTTTCTCCAATTATTTTTCTACCTGCCAAAGAAAAATATCTTCTTGACACCACCTCAAGAGTGGGATTTCATCCATCACTTTGCAGGAGCTTTTGACATATTTCAGTTGAACTTTCCTCCAAAATGAGCAAGAAAAGGAAACATCTTCCTAAGTGATTACATCAGCCTGCCTGCTGTGAGCCCAGAATAGAGCAAGAGAGCTGAGCCTGCACAAGGCAAGGAACACTAAGTGCTTCCAGAGTTTCCTCAGATAAGCATTTCAGCAAGATATCTTCTCTCTGAACCCCAGTGTGACTCACAAATGAATGAGCATCCAAATTACAAACTTCTGCTTCTGCATTTTGCCCCCATTGTGTTGCCCTACTAAGTCAATGGCACGAGGAGCAGTGACAGCACCATAGACTGAGCATCCCAAATTCTCCTTAGCAATAAGGCTGCTTGGCACTTCTCAGACAGGGACTACTTGCAAGCAGCAAAAAGCACTTCAACAGTTAAAGCTCTTTACCTTCATAAATTCAGCTTTGTCATTTTCCAGGAAAAGCTCCTGGGTTTCATCTGTCAGGTCCTTGCAGGTGTCAAGATGTTTCCCACAACTGACCAGCTGCTCATATAGAGCTTCCAGCTTCTGCCTCTTCTCTTCTCCCAGTGCTTCCAGCTGCTCTTCGTACTTCTGAGCAAGCACTTGCACTGCATCGTTGTAATGCACCTCAAAGTTCTGCTCCTGCCTCCCAAAATTTTCCTGCAAGATATTTGAAGGTTTGTACCTTGGCATCAAGCCTGATCCACAGGTCATGCAGAGGAAAATCTTATTCTGGTTTGCCTAAACTTCTCCTTACCATAGAGGTAATATGTCATGTTTAAATTCACAAAACTAGGACACAGTACCGGTACACAGAAGCCGTAATTTGACTTATGTGCATTTTTAGGGGTTTACTCTGATCATTCACCCCCCACCAAAGCACAAAAGTGTTGGATTTTGTTCCAGACATAAGAGCAACAGAAATTACAGCAGGAACAATGATGTAAAGCAACCTAAACCCAGGGAGCACAACTAGGATATATCCTAGCCTTAATCTCAGAAGCATTTCCACTAACACAGTGAAGCACATCCTTCCACGAGAGAAACCATGGCAACTCAGTGGGATCCATGGATTTGTGCTGAGGGAGCTGGGTAGCTAATGCTGCTATCCTCACTCACAGCTGGAGAAAACATTAGGAAGGAAAATTTAAGGAGCAGGCAAGTCAAGGAGCAGTCCCAACAGCTGCTCACTGTTCAGGCACCGATGTCCTCCTGTGCTACATGCAGCAGAGAAAAGACTGCAGTGCCTTGAGTTATTGCTTCAGTTTGAACTTGCTGCCAGCTGACCTCCTTCCCCTGGGGCCAAGCTGACAGCAGCCGAGTGGGAGCACAACTCTTGAAGCAGCTGGTCCAAGGATTTGCCTGGATCTGACACTTCTGTGAATGAAGCTGAGGGAACACAAGGGCTGCACTCTGGATGGACTAGTTAGATCACAGATCTTTGGCCATTTAAAGCTAAGATTACTTGAGTGGGGGTGGCTTTATTTCTGAATGCAAACCTCTGTGCAAATTATAAATGTGGTTTTACTAGCCTACTTAAAAAAATCTTTAGGATGAGTTTTCCTGAGTACTTCAGTCTAGACAAACCCCAAGATAACTCTGTGCTCTCTTACTGTAAGTACCCACCTCATTAACAACTGAATACTGTGAATGTCAGTATGACTGTCAAAACTGTTTAACCCCACTACCATAAAGTTAGCCCAAGAGCAAATGCCTTACCTCTACAGTGATGAAGATTTCCTCCAAATGGCTGGCAACATTTTCCATCTGAGCAATCTGTTCTTCCAACTTGCACATGTTTTTATGGATCTCCTCCTACAAAACACCCAGTGTGATTCCTACTATGTCTGAAGACTGTTTTAGAGGCACCACAGTACACCTGTCTTACTCTCACCTTTTCACTTTCCACAGCACTGGGGAGCTGAGCAACCTCGTGATCCTTGTGCTCACCAAATAGTTTGTCAAAAGCTCGGATTGGTATCTTGCAGGTGGAACAAAAAACATCTGCTGCTTCTTCCTCTTCCTCCTCCTCTTCCTCACTGACAGCCTGACTGTTCCACTCATCTGACATGCCACCACTGCTTAGCCCCCCTCTGGACCATATGCTGCTCTCAGCCTCATCATCTGCTCTGGCTTTGCTCTGATTTTCACCTTGAGAAGCCTCATCAGGAAGTCCTTGTTGCTTTGTGCTTTGACTTAGATCTTTCACTGAAGAGTTGCTTTTTGATATGTTATATATGGAGCCTTGTAATCCTGCTTTTTCTGTACGAGCTGGTGGCCATCTGCTCTCCACCTTCTCCAGATGTCCTCCAAGAAGCTCAAACTCTTTTTCTCTATCCTCATCAAGTCCATACATCTTAGCCAACTCTGCAACCTCCTTTTCCAAGTCATAGCCAACTTCTTGTGGGCGCTGAACTTTTTCAGTACTCAGTGCAGATTCCCTTCTCGTATCCCCCAGAGATCTGTCTCCTCGACCAGAGGGCTCTTCAGGAAAGATATCAAACCTCTCCTTTGATCCATAAAGATCCATGTGATAAAAGATCAGACCTTCATTCTCAGTGTCACTAGGCTCTGGGACTGGTGGGGAAGCTGAGTGATGTCGTGACTGGCTGCTGGTCTCATAGTCTCTCGTGCTGCCAGATCTGGATGACATTGGTATCCTCAGGGAGCCTTTTGAGATTATGAGACTCAAGCTTGTAAAAGATAAGAAAGATCTTTAGCTACATACTTAGATATCAGGATTGAGTTTTTCTTGCTAAAAAATATATGGATAGAATAGGTTTGGCTGAGGACTGCTCAGTCCTGGAGGTAGGCATGGGAAAGACTCACTCCCTAAGTGAAGCTGCTGAAGGGAAGCCACAGGAAGCTTGTTTTCTTCTCACCTCAGTGCAAAGCACAGCAGAGAGCTGTCTCTGGTGTGCATCCTCTTTTCTGAGTTTTTTACCTCATCTGTGACCCTGATGCCTGATTTCCAACTGTAGAGCAGTCCTGTCCTCAGATAAACACTGTGACTGTGCTTCAGGCACAGTTAGTGCTGTTCTGTGCAATTGGAAATGGCCTGGTTTGAAGCCTGCTCACTCTTCAGCTGCTGTCAAGCATGTTTTCTGAACTGTCAGTCAGGCAATAATGTAGAATGTCCTCTGTTGTGACCACTGATGCCACAGAACACACTAATAACTGCCCTGGAAAGTCCTGTTCTGTATTTTTCAAGTTACCGTTCTTAATACTGAAACTTGAGTCAAGGTCCTGGGTCCTTTCTAAAAAATATCACAGAGAAAACATACTGCCCTTTGGGGCTTCTCATGTGCTGTGGAAAATATACATTTTAACATAAAGCATCCAGTAAGTAGGGAGCAAGGCAGGCCATTGGCCTATGGAATGAGAGATGCCTGCTCTGACCCAAACCTTGCACATTTTGTGCATTCTCTGCAAGGAGGGAGGTGTGAAAAGAGCTTGTGTATGTGACATGCAAAGCTGTATGATAAAGCAGATGCATGTGGGATAACATTAAAAGTGCAAAGGCAATTTTAATGCTGATTCCCAAGCCCACTCTTTCCAATCAGCCTGTATTAACAGCAGTGAGATAATGCTAGTACAGAGTCTGAGCTGAAACGTCCCCACAACCCTTCAGTGCTCACCAACATGAATGGAATCATAGCTACAAAACTACTCAGATCAATTTTATCAGCAGTTTAGTACCACAAGCAAAAGACTTCATGGAAAGATTTCAGCTGAATATCAATTAATCTGTAGTTACATCTAGACCTTGGTAAGTGAAGCATATTAAAGCTTTAAAATCACTTTCTCATAGAAGAAAAAAAGCCAAAAGATCAGTCAGACATCAGTGTTATCAGACCTTCTGTGTAAGCTTTCCCATAAATTTGCTTTCAAACTACTATTTATGGTACTTTTGGTTTTGAGTAGTTGCTATTACCTCAAATTTATTTAATCAATATTTTACTAATTTTCCTGAGAAATGCTTAGCTAACAGAGTCAACACAATTGGTGACTTAGTAAAAAGCAACTTCCCAATCCAGTGACAAATACTGAGACATTTTGCACTCTCTGGTTTTATATCCCTGGCTGAGTCCAGCCCTACAGATCTGCAAGAAAACCCACACAGAAGTTCATAGCCTGTCTCCTGGCACTGCAGACATGGGTGTGGATTCTACAGTTACCAATATCCTACTATGGATAAAAAGTTAGGCAGAAATACTATTTACGCTGAAGGCAATAAAATAAATCATGCAAATTCTAACATTTTAAACAGAGAAAAGGTCTTAACACATACCAGAAAATGTTGTCTGGCTCCCGCAAAGACTTTTTTCCCCATAATTAAAACAATAAGGCTTGCTTTAGAAGCTACTACTAATTAGAAAAGTGAAATAACATTTTTTTTCCTACCAAAATGAAAAGAAATAAATTTAAATTAGCATAATTAAGCTTGTCTGCAATCCTGCTGCCTAAATAAGATTTTCAGATGATTGCTCAGTGTTTGCTTGCTTTGCAGGCACAGATAAAATTACATGAAGCACATTTAGATCCGTGACCGCCAGTTATCATAAATACATAACAAAGAATGTTACTACCTAAAAACTTGCCTTCTATCTTAAGACGTCATAAATTCTTCTGATAGCTCAGATGGCATCAAAGTTAACTTCTATTCCCCCTAGTAAAAATTAATTCACACGAAAGCAATTCCTTGCCACTTTCCTGTAACTTCAGCTGGGAGACTTATTGGGGTAACCTTACCCAGCCTCTTTGCTCAGATAGGGGCATGCCAGCAATGAGCAATGGCACAAATATAGATGTGCCCTGGCTGTCCTTCAGCAGTGTGCTGCTTGAGTGTCACCAGGATGAATGTCACACACTGAGAACAGGCTCCAAAGTACTGAGAGCAGCTACAGAGAGCCCTCACTAAAGCCAGAGTACCCTCTCACTTTTGGAGGTGGGATTAATAAACACTTCAGAGCGCATTCATTGCCTCTGGGTGTGATTTCCAAGGCTGGGGTGTTAGGCAGAGTGTCCTGTGTGAGATACACAAAACGTGCAAACAACTCACATGGCTGGACATGTGTTTACAGAGTTGCACAACTTAATGGAAGTACCTGTTCTGTTCTTTGTAAACACTTACTGGTAAAGTTCCTCTCAAATTAGCAGGAACTTTTCTATGGGGCTGAGTTGGAATCATGATCATATATTAGAAAAAAAAGAAGAAAATTTAGAGTTTAGAAAAAAAAATAATACCATTAGTTATGCTTATTATACATATCCATACACCCTGTGTGTGTATGCCAGACCTCTGGAAAGTTAATTATGGTGAAGAAAGTGAACAATAGCCCCACTAGGGAGGTTTTCACAGGAACATATCCCTGCAGTCTGTGCTCAGTAGGGTCCACCTGATAAAAAACAGTCTGTGTATTACCACTGATTATTGTGACTGCGGTAGCACAGGAGCTTTGTGAATCTGCTCAAACCCACAGCTGCCTAGCACACACAGGCTGCTGCTTGTGAATGTGCTACCAAGCCAGCCCTGCTGGCAGTAGATTTTTAAGCACGTTTGAGAATCTTGAATTATATATGGCTTGAGCTCAGGGGACACCACAAGGGACAATGTCTATTAGATCTTGACACAGCTCTGCTTTTTCCTCCTTTTCCAATTATCTTGGTGTCATTTCCTCACTTTTCTAGCAGTGCAATTGTTTGCTGTTTGGTGAGGAATCACAAGTTAATTGCCCATGTAGGCACGATCTCATTACTGCTAACAGTGCTTCTATCATCTGTGAGATTAGAGCAGAAGTGTTTTCACACAAGTGACGCAGCCCTTGCTGAAATGTTAACATTTATGCTGTCTGACAGATTTGATTAAGTTTTCAACCGAGAGCTTATTTTTGCTTTGTGTTAAGCTACGTTCTCTTACTGCTTAATTTCTCAAAAAAATTGCAGTACTTCGCTTCCAAAGACTGGAATATAACATTTGGTGGGTAGTGAATTACATTCTGCCTTGGACACAGGGTCTGAATAAGAGGGCAGTGACACTGCTCTTGTTCCATCACCCCGCTGCTCTTTGCTCCCTCGGTGCCTTTGAGGCAGCGTTTGGGTGGCATTTATACAGAGCATGGTGACCTCGGGCTGAGCTGGGTGTCAGGACAAGCACCCTGGGCTGTTTGTGAGTGCTGGGTCCCAGGGTCAGGCTCAAGGGGAAAGAGTGTGCGGATTGTCTGGTGTTGTAGAAAGCAACAACTCATGGAATTTTGTGAGGGTCACAGGAACCATGGCTGGGAGGAAAGCTGCCCCACATGCAGCAGCTCAAACACGGGGCTGTGTGTGCCCTGCTCCCACCCACCACTCCTCACAGGAACAGAGGCTTATTTCACAAAGCTTTCTCCTGCCAGCACCTGAAGGAAACACACAGGGGAGATGGGGAAAGATTATTCGCAAGAGCATGTACTGACAGGACAAGGGGGAACGGTTCAAATCGAGAGTAGTTTTAGGTTATATATTGGGAAGAAATTCTTTACTGTGAGGGTGGTGAGGCCCTGGCCTGGTTGCCCAGGGAAGGTGTAGATGCCGGGAGGGATGAAGCTCTGAGCAACCTGGCCTGGTGGAAAGAGTCCGTGCCCATGGCAGAGGGGTGGGAACGCGATCTTCGGGGTCACCTCCCAACCCCACCCATGCCAAGCCAAAGGGCCTTTCCCGGGCCGCCCCTCTCGCTCTTTTACTACAGCACTGTTTATTTTCCGCTCCCTCCATGAGGGCCGCCCTGGCCCCGCCCCTGTCTCGGCCCCGCCCTCTCTGACCCCGCCCCGACTCCACGGTCCCGCCCCCTGCCGCTCCCGCCAATGGGCGCGGGCGCTGCCGGTGACGCGCCCGGCCCCGCCGGTCCCGGCTCTCGGTTTCTGTTTCGCTCCGGGGCCCCCGGGGCCGCCGCTGCTGTCGCGATGGAGCCGCAGCCCGACAGCCTGGAGGGGTGGGTGGCCGTGCGCGACACCGCCTTCGCCGAGCCTCAGCCGCCGCCGCGGCTCCGCTTCCTCGTGGGGTGGAACGGCGCGGAGGGCGCGTTCGCGGTGACCTGCCACGGGCGGGCGGAGGCGGCGGAGCAGGCCCCGCAGAGCTGGGCCGGGCTCTTCTCGGCGCCGGCCCTGCGCGGCGTCCACCGGCAGCTGTCGGCCGTGTGCCCGCGCCTGGAGCCCGCCTTCCCCGAGCTGCCGCCCACGCTGCCCGGCGCGGCCTCCGGCGGGCTCTGGGCCGTGCTGTTCCCCGGCGGCGCCGCGCCGGAGGAGGCCGAGCTGCAGGAGCTGTGCCGGGCGCTGGAGCTGTACCTGGGCTGGGCCCTGGAGCTCTGCGGCGCCCGCGTGGTGCTGGACGCGCTCTTCGCCCCCGACCGCTGCTGCGACGACGAGTACTTCGAGAGCCTGCACGAGCTCCGCGGGAAGGCCCTGCGCGGCCACCTGGCCCGGGCCAAGGAGGCCCTGCGGCGGGTACGGGCCACGGGCCGGGCGCGGGTGGAGGGAGCCGGGGCGCGGGGCCGAGGGTGCGGGCAGGGAAGGGGCCCCTCGGTGCGGGACTGTCTTCAGTGTTCGGTGCTGCTGCTCAGCTCATGGGTGCGCCTGTGTGAGCTCCGGCTGGGCGCCCCGTGCTCCCCTGGGAGCT